ACCCCCCTCCTTCTGGGGGTGTGCCTAAATTCTGGTCTAAACCCGCCCATTTATTCACTTGCAGGGTGTTACCATGAGATGGTGCTTTCTTAAAAAAACACATTTTAGTTGTGGTCACAAGTTTACATACACAAGTACAACAGGTATCAACCAGAATCTTTTGGTAGCCATTAGCAAGCTTCTGGCATAATTCTGACTGAATATTTGACCACTCTTCTTTGCAGAATTTCTAGTTCATTTAAACTAGTTGGGTTCCTGGCACAGACCTGGCGTTTAAGCATAACCTACAAATTTTCAATAGGGTTGAGATCGGGGGTACTTCACAAAGCAGGATTACTTGCTTAGCTTAACTTCTTGGAGTTAAGGTAAACTGAATACACAGCCGAAGTTTTTACAACACCAGAGACAAACAGGGCTAGGTACTTGGGTAGCGAGCATGCCTTACACACTAATCCAGTGCTATGATATTATACAGTACATACTAATCCAGCGCTATGATATTATACAGTACATACTAATCCAGCGCTATGATATTATACTGTATATACAAAAACCCCTCAGAAATGCAAAGCATGTGTTTTCTATCTCAACCAGACAGGAACTGTTTTGAAGCTTGGCATCCTGATCAGGAGTGACAATTTGTTGTTCTAATATTCATTTATTGTTTTGTATTATCCCTGTAATATAATGTGATTGCACATTTCATTCATAAACGTTTAATCCGTTGCATGTTATAAACTGTAAAAAGGCTAGTATTGTGTCTTTTCTTACAGTTTTTTTCAATTGCTAAGACAGGGTAGTATCTAGGTACGTTGTATCTCTTCACATGCCTGATCCATCTTTGACATTGCTCTGGAGAAATATCTTGGCATCCAGTATTCATTGTTTGATCTTGTGTCAATTGACATAATTTGTTTATATTATGTGGTTTTTACAATCTATTTTAGACAGGGTCTTGATAGTAATTTAGCAAAATGACATATTTCAGTTTGGACTGTCTTATTAGCAGTTTTAGGGTCAGTACGTAGGTATGTGCAAAATGGCCTCTGAAAATGTAATGTTGTGAGACAGGAATCCATGACTTTTGAAGCATTTAGTCATTGATTGCATTTTGTATGAAAGTAAAGCTAAATGCTTAACAGTTTAGCCCACATAAGCTAATGTTGTGGTGACTGTTTTGAGAAAGTAACTTCAGTATTGCAGTATCTGTCTTAGCAATTGAAAAAAACTGTAAAATTCACACTGCCTTTCCAAACTGATTGGTGTGAGGAGCAGTGACAGACATTTCAGACTGATAGGCCATTGACAGTAAGCAAAGGTGTGGTAACTCCAAAGTCACTTCAAAGTTGTAACACTTTAGTAATCAAACCTCATACAATTTTTTGAATGTCTCGTTCACCTGTGTGTAGCCAACCCCTACAGTATGTCTATAAGCTTCAGAGCTCAAAACTCTTGGCTAGAAATGTTTATAATGTGATTTTTTTCAATTTTTCAGCTCCACTGAAAATAGGTTTTTGAAAAGTATATGTTTAAAAAATAAATAATCACATTCTAAATGATCTCAGATTATTGGTGCTGAGTTTGCGCTGAATAAAAACATTTGTAGCACTTTGGGATATATGTTTTTTAGATAGGTGAAATATATTAAAAATCATTTTGGGAACAAAACTGCCAATTGCCAAAAGCTATTTATTGAATCAGTCACTGGTTTGGCGAAACTTTAAACCATGCTCACCTAGTTAGACACAATTTGCAGATCTCAGTCATCCTTTTTGCAAAACTCGAAACACATTCTTATTCATCAAAACACATTTTGCGCATGTTTGTGTTTGACTTTTGCCACCTGTGCTCACCATTTTGTAACACAGGTGCATCACAATGACAATGTGTTGACAAGATGTGTCTAAACAGGTGAAAAGTGCTTATGGTTTTGCCAAAAGAGTGACTGATTCCATAAGTGGGTTCAGGCAACTGAGAATTTGGTTCAGACAATAGGGTTTAGTGTTTTAGCAATCGAGAAAAACTGTAATACATTATTAGACACACTTTGATGCAAAATAGAAAACACAGGCTGCAGAGGTTAAGTGCAGCCAGCACACAGTAGTCATTTACCTGTAAACACAATGACTCAAAACTGTTCACACACATTTCTAAACATTTGAAAAAGCCAAAGAGTGACTAGAACATACTGTAGAATACATGCCATAGGTGAACAGGAGTTGAATTTCGACGTCAAGGTACAAATGGGCCACACAGAGGATTCTTTCTGCATCGCCCAAAAAGGGAGAGCATCGCTAGACCAAGCTCTGAGACATGGTAATGAGGCAGAATGAATATTCTTCCGTGACTCTGGCTTGGCAGTTGCACAATATTTTACTGTAATAAGCCTCTCATTTGTTTACTTCTTGACTTTGTCCTTTACAGTAACTTTGCTGAAGTACTGAATACGGCAAACATTACATATTAGTTATCAGTCATAACTGTACAGTATACAAATATTTTTGGTAGACGACCATACTTTTTTTTTTTTACTATAGTCTTGCGGTTTCTAATTTACATGCCAACAACAGTTTTGACTGGTACTGTTTTCAGTTTTTTGCTGTAGTGTGTAATGACTTCAGTAGTGTTTATTTAACTGACTGGCTTGATGCATGATCTGAAAGCAGTGTTTGCTTTTGAGCAAAGATAATATAGTTTTGAGAAGATTGTTTGATTTTGCAAGACAAGTGTAAGGTTTTGTGAGTTTAGTTTGATTTTTAGGGTTTGTGCTTTGATTAAAGGAGAAGAGATTTTAGGAAATGTGTTTTAGCAATTCAGAAAATGTCAAGGCATGTCAGACTACTTTGAAAGTGGGTGAGAGGCCTCAGACTCCAAAGGGTTACAGTAAATACTTATTATTCTGTGTTTCTCTTTTTGTGTCTGGTACTATGACAAAAAATTCCCAATCTATCTATCTAGTGCTGCTTCATTATTCCATCCTCTTTGTGCAATGTATACTGATGTACAGTACTGTCAGCAAAACAGCATGATACTACCACCACCATGCTTGACCCTTTATGAAGGGTCAGTCGTCTTAGGTTAAGAAAACAACCTCACCTTTACCCCTGCAACATATCTCTTTTCATTGTGGCCATGCAGAAAAGTTATTGACATATTCACACGTAATTGTGACTGTATCCCCCCCCCATGAATGCGTAGCCATCAGCAGCCTTTCAGACTGTTAGCTAGACAGACAGAAAGAACACACTAAGGAATGTGTCTGTTTTATTCAAGCACAGTACAGAAACTTTTTTTTTTTTTCATTTTCCACTCTGTCCACCTTTATTCTCCACAGTCAACCGTATTACTTTGTTTAGGCCTGTAATTAGTCTGTTACACACATCTTGGGTCACTCTCTTCTCCCAAAATAACTCTTGGACATGCTGCTGCTTTGTACCTGGCTTGGCCTCCTGCCTCCTTGCGGATGAA